ATCCTGTTGTTATTGCGTAGTTTTGTTAAAATTTTCGTCGTGATTACTTCTGAAGTTGTTTCGAGTCTTCTACATCCATGAATGAATTGATTGATGCTAAGGACAGCAGATGGGTCGTATACGCCGGGGAGGCTTGGCTAGTGCTGAGAATGAAATGCAGACGGAGATAATTGTTAGCTGTGGTTCCACACGCCGGGGAGTGAGAGTGTAAACGACTGAGGCTCGCATGTGTCACCGCTACTAGAATGAGGCAGAATGAGTGACAAGCGATTGCAGTGGTAATTGGTAGTGAGTAGATAAGAGGATGTGCGTAGAGTATCATGAGTTGGTGCTATGGTCACGTTGCATTCTGCAAGAGTCATTCTAGCAAGTGGCGACTGTGTTGCAAATGGATGTGTCAAGAGGATCCCTTTATCTGGAGGCGCAGGTCCTCATTGATGTTTGAGATTGTGCTGTGGGTATGCTTGTGGTGTGTCGGCTTTTCTGTTTGTTTTCCATTTCAGCTCTGTCCGTGTGACCCGGGCTCTCGCAATGGCATCCAAGCCAACGTGTATTGGTCGTGATGGAAAAAAGGGATGGATCGGTATTTTGCCGGGGAGTGTCAATGTAGTTGAAGATTGAACGATCAATTCTTGGTTGTTTGCTCAAAACCAACTTCCCCAATTTTCGCGGAGGCATCAATACGACAGTCATCGTCTCATCGGTCGCTGTTCAGAAAGAAGTCAGCAGCAAACCGTCAGAAGTAATATTGTGATTTATTATTGTAATATTTGTTCACAGAGCTTAATTCAATTATTATTTTTATATGTTGGTGTAACAATAATGAATTCTCAAGCGGCCAATCGGTGTTTTGGTTTTTTCGTCCGTTATAACTAAGCGTTTCTGAAACTTCAAGGAACAGCGTGAGCCCGAGCGTAGCAAGAGCTGGGCATTAACGGTTTATGAAACGTTGCTGACAGATGGTATGTCGTCTGTTCCGGTACTGCTATTTGTCTTCAATGTCTTTATCGCTGAGTCTATATTTTGAATATTAAAATCTATTTCTCCTAATTTGTGGTTGCTTTCGCAGGTCATTTGGAAATTTGGGGTCGGGTGCACTCTGGTGTCATTGGAAAACCACTCACTGAGGAGTTCACTTATAACCTATGGATCGTTGTATATTACACCCCTATGTTCCAAGATGCTTACATTATTGTCTTTACTGCTTTTTAGACGTTTTTGCAATATCCTACAAAGTTCCTGAGTTTTGGTGTTACCCATTAGCGCTTTATTTTCCTCATGTTGTGGCTTCATTTTGTGTTTCTCTTCAAGCAGTTTAAGAGTTTCATGTATTTGGTTTAATGCATTAAATTCCTTAAATACACGGTATTTCCTTTCCAATTTCTTTAGTTTTAGTCGCGTTTTCCGGTCAATAAATGGAGTTGGTGTCTTTAGGGCAGATTTTAGGGGCGCGATTGTGTCTCTTGCTGAGCCAACTGTTTTGTAGAAAATCTCAAGCGATACTTCTGAGTTATTGTTGATGAAGTATTCTTCCCAGTCAGAACTTCTCAACAGATCTGATAGGAATTCCCAATCTGCATTCTTATAGTCCCTATATTGATAGCGCACCGGGGAATTTTTGGTGTGTATTTAGTTGTTAGTCGGAGGGGGAGCGTGCAGTACAATATGTTGTGATCACTGTTATCGAGTTTATTTCCCACCTGGTGTAACAATAAAGAATCCTCGAGTTAACAATTGGTGTTTTGGTTTTTTCGTCCGTTATTACTAAGCGTTTCTGAGAAACTTCAAGGAACAGCGTGAACCCGAGCGTAGGAAGAGCTGGGCATTAACGGTTTACGAGACGTGGCTGACACTAGTAATGCAGCACTTTTGAAGTGTACGTTGACCCACAGGGTATGGTGCATGTCGTTGAGTTCCCTCTTTTGTAGTTCCAATACAGTATTGTGTCGAAGAAGTACATAAGACAGCCTCCTCCCTTACGACTGTTCCTGTCACATCGAAAATATGTGTACCCATCGATGCCTATCTCTTCGTCTAGTATATTGGAGTGACACCAGGATTCAGTAGTAGTGATGTTAAGGGGTTTATACACCAAAATGTGTGCCCTAAGCATCGGTAGTTTGTTCAAGGTGGATATAGCACTGATGAGGATTGGGCAAATTTGAGATTCGAAGTAGTGTTTGAAGCATTTAAGCTCGTTAATCAAGTTCAGGTGTGGATCGGCATCCACTGGTTCTTCATAACATGACGTCCCTGTGTCAAAAGTAGTGTCAATACCACGTTTCCTAACGTTCATCAAGTCCTTTAACTGCTTCTTCTTATGAGTAATGTGTTGTCTTAATGGATTCGGTATAGGGTAAGCTGATTATATTCTTAGGTAGGTCGAAGGCATGGGTGGGAGTTTTTATTTAGCTAATGTTTATCAAAACGTTGGATCTGCTTGATAACTGCCAGCATTGTGCTCCTACTGGGCAAACTATAATAAACAGTCATGTCTATCGCTGCCAGACACCCGAACACTTATGGCTGATGTTGGCATCCCTCCTCCATTAATAGGGTGCTTTATGTGACATTCGACGTTTGTTCATCTATTGTTGTCGCGAAAGTTGTTACTGAGGTGTGTTTTACGTATAAAATAAGGACAAACTTAAGAAAAGTCTATAAACAAATCAAACATGAATTGTGGCTAGACACAATGCGACAACAGACACACTGTTAACATCAGCGGGCTTACTACCCGCTTACTCCCGCATCAGTGAAACAGAACTGTGGTGAGCGTGAAGTGATTAGACAACTGTTGATACTTGGGGTTTATTTGGTAAGTAGATTGGTGGGTTAATGAGGCCCAGAAGACAAGTCAAAGACGTGGAAGTTCATATATCATTCAGCGCAGAATACCACAGAAAAGAAACCTGGTAACCCATGAGTAGAGTAAAGTTGGTCACTTGGTCACTCAACTCATCCTTTTGCATCCTTTACTCATTAACCACCTATTGGGTGATCTATGTTTTTCGGAGGCCGTATACTCAGCAGCGACCCCATTATGGAACTTACATTGAGAAGTTCAAATGGATAGTAAGGGGAGGGGTGAAATATTGAGTTCAGCTCTCGACAGAAAACTGAACAAGATGATGAGTATCACTATTAGAAAGTGAAAATATCACTTCACTGAATCATGAGGCGAAAATCGTATAGGCAGCTTCTATATTCATCCCACAATGGTCTTGGCTTAACAAATGAAAATTCAAGTAAATATCTGGGTCATGGTAGTTTCCCAATCTGTTCGAAAGCAGTAAGTACAAGACCTTCATGCAAAATTCTGTGACCTGTCTCAGAACCTAACAGACTCAGTGAGGGTGTCTGTATGGAAGAGGACCATTGCTTTCCATGTGTTCATGAGTCTAAATCGGCAAACATGCTGGATTATCGATCGATAGAGCTACTCTCAGTAATTTCATGGTAATCGAAAAGAATGGTTGGCAATCGTGTTAGGAAACACTGATCGGGATAACACACTACATGATGTATAACAAAGTTTCTAGAAAAATGGGCTTTGTCCAACAAAGAAGACTGTGTATCCTACTGGAATGCAAATGTCTCATCACTCGTGGTTTCTCTTGATCTCACTTATTTTTTTATTTTTGATTACAGTTTGATTCCATACTGCATTTTTGGTACAAGTATGGAATTTTCAGTGTGGATATCGGTAGCCCGAATTTTGTAGGCCAACCGTAGATACCAGGTGTGCGTCAGCGTGGGCTCGAACCCCGGACCATGTGCATGGTCAACGAGAGTCCTAACCACTGTGCCACCGACGCACAGTTCAAAATGATGTCTTCCTTCACGAATAAGCTTAGTAGTGACTGGTGGTGGATTACCTAGCCCGAAAGGAATTCTGTGCCGAAATCGATTTTGTTTGATCGTCTTGACTGAGCTAGGCCCTGGGAATCACCTAGAATTCTATTTTGGGATCTCCAGTATTTTCAATATTCACCAGTCTTCTGTCTTACCTGCCGAGCTCCTTGGCTGTTCTGTACTCTGACGGTGCAAAATTGCAGACGAAGGAGCAATTTCTGAAAGACTTAGACAGGCTCTAGGAGAAGCGTTGGTTATTGGGATGCCATTTGCCTTTAAGAATACATTATGATTCAGATGTGTACCCCAAAGGCTCAGGGACCAATTTACTTCCTGTGTCAAAATAACCTGTCCTGTGTGGCGCCAGGGGCTAATTCTGGCAACAGTCTGACGGTAAATTAGATGCGAGCGTGGATTACTAGTATGATAGGCCAGGGATGGTAGTTGTTCACTTCATACTTAGGCAGCTAACAGCTATCACGTCACAACCTTCTATACAGCTGTGTCAAGCCCGCCTAATGCCTGACCTTAAAGTTCACAAAACCGTTGCTCCATCATTACTCAAAAGAGACACAAACCTCTCAGGACCGGCTCAGTGAAGGCTACAGAAAATGTTGTGGAATTTCATAAGAAGATGGTATGACAAAACGTTGATGAAATTAGGTTTCTGCTGCCCAGTTCCCACTTCAAGACGAAAGAATAAACAGAATCGTACACAGCACGGGATCACAGTACGAGGTCATTTCTGCTTTCCCCGTGGCAACCTACTCAGGACGCTGGATGACATAGGGGTAACGAAGTCTTTTCAATAGGCTGTACCCCCAACCAAACTGAGATTCAGCCCTGACATAACGGACCCTATCCAAGAGTTCTCAACTAAACCCATCCTTGATGCTCACCCCGTGGCTTTTGTTTCACTCTTCTGTTGATTCTGATTATTCATCCATTTACTTATTTCCATTATGTGTTACTCATCTGTCTCATGTTATTTTGATGTTTACGCCATTAATTACATTGTCATTAGTGTTATCTTGATTTCCTGTAACACTAAATGAATAGCCGCTGAACAGACCAACCTCAGTATTGCCACGCTTTCATATACCGGATAATAGAATTCATACTGCAGATCTCACAGCACTCTTCTTCAAGTATGTCACAGCGACAGCAGGTTAGGAATGGGTCAAACTACACATCGAGCTACCGGGACTTCGAAATGAGCTGACAGAAGTCAATGCGAATTACACAATCTAGCGCAAAGTATGTAAATTATTGAAAGTTTGAAGGCGGCGTTTACTTTAGTATGCGGTACGACGTACATAGCGGGTGTGAGTTGACCTAATGGTTAGTGCGCTTCGTACCTTTAGAATTGGTGATTAGCTCTTTTTAAATTACACTTGTTAACCCATTAGTTGCTTGAGACAACGAGAACTTTCGTATACGGAAAGTGATCAGTGATGGACTGGGATGAAGTCCTTGTCTAAATATGCATATATATATATACCCATATGTGGGTATACAAATTAACTAGTTGGATTGCTGTGATATTTTGCCAAAAGTTATTAAGCATGTGCTTATTGTTTGCTTTGCAGTGTAGTAGGACTGATTATACTGTACGAAGCAGTGCACTGCTTTGATGCTTGGAGACTTTGGGTCTTTACAATAATGTCATTTCCGGTGAGACTGCCGCCTTACTCTGACATTCAGCCTCAGCATTAGTTGCTATTATTTCAGATGACAGCTTTCCATAAGCTGTCGGCTTATGCTGCTTTGTCACTCTACGGCTAAAGATAGGCATAGTACCTCTTGGTAGGTGGAAGAGAGTGTGACTTTCAGGTCAAGAAGTATGGCAGATATTGGACGCCGAAAAGTATATATACGTCCCGAAACATGTCGAAGACTGAGGGCACAACCATTTTACTCATGCGCGGGCCTAAAGCCTGCTCAGTTTTCACTGATTTCTTTCTGCTGAATGTGTCTTAGTTTACCGATGATTACTGAGCCTAGGATTTCAGTAACCATGTTAGTGGAACTAAACCCTCTACGTTAATGAACACGTGTGCCGCGTTGAATTTAAGGGCTGTTTTCATGCAGTGAAAGCACAATTAGAACTTGAAAATAAGACCATCGAATTTTGAGTTGAATTCACTTAAGTGGGTTGTATTAAGTTCACTTAAATTGGGGTTCATAGATATTTTGTGTGCTAAGCTGCACACTTCCTAAATAACAAGAGGCAATCGCTTGTTGTTGAAGACCATCACGTAGAAACAGCGGTGTGACTGCATGTGACATCTTTGTGCTGTATTGGTAAAAGCTATGTCCTTTATCTGAGTTGAACCTATGTAGTTATCTCTGATGCAGACGTGATATCCGGCTACTTACCAAAGAACACATGCACTGCGCAGAAGTTCGCTGTGTCAGCCTTTTTGGTTGTAAGACCTGGCCAATCAAATTGAAAAGTATGGGAAAGTGAGTTGTCGTTGACCACCGATACTTGCGTTTTATCTTGCTTGTCGAGTGGCATATTGTAATATTGAGGTCAGCCATAGTGTTAGTTAAGGAAGGAAAGTCAGTCGGTAAGGCCGTGTCTGTAAATCGATAGAGATGGCTAGAAGACGTGTTATGCATACCAAATTAGCACTTTCTTGGTCGAGCAGTGTAAATCGACACAAGATTAAGTTGAATAGGAGTTAGAGGTAGTCAAACCGAAACTAGCATCAGTCTATGAAGTTTCTGACAGTGGTTTTCAGCCGTGCGGGAAGCCTTACATTACCTGGATTGTGCTTCCGGGATCCTAAGAATCACTAACTGAAGATTAATAGAGATATGGCTCAAAGTCATCCTCTGTGGTGCATATTCACTTACTGTTTGTAATCTCCCAGATCTATTAAATCCTCAAGTTTTCCAAATTTACTGTTGTTTTTCCTGAACATTTCCGTTCACTAAAGTCCTCTTGAATTTTTCTCTAACAGTGTACTGCATAGAGTGTAGCTACTTGCACTGATGCATTTCTGTGCAAAGTTATGTGTTGAAATTTGGTCAGTAAACTCATTTAATTTGTGTTTTGAAGGAGTTATCAGTCAGGCATTCATGGCATGGCAAGTAGAGTTACTTGATTTTAAGTGAGACTATTTCTGAGAAAAATGGCTCCTTAATTAGCTCTCAGGATAGACGCCTTGAACGCTGGAAAGAACACTTTGAGGGACAATTTATCTTGCCTAAAGCCACACTGAACCTCCCAAACATCCAGCACACACCCGAATCGGATATAGACACTGGTCCGCCGTCTGTAAGTGAAGTCACAAAAGCTATCAGTAATTTGAAACGAGGCAAAGCGGCAGGACCCGACGGAATTACTCCGGAGGTGTTTAAATATGGGGGTGACATACTAGTTTGTAGATTAACTGAGGTACTAGGCAACGTCTGGGAATCAGAGACAGTGCCATCAGACTGGGGTAAGTCACTTATTATACCGATATTCAAGAAGGGAAACAAGTCCTCGTGTGATAATCATAGGGGGATCAGCCTAACGAACATAGTCTCTAAAATCCTAGGCTCAGTAATCATGCCTTTGACTCCATGGATCTAAAGGTACTATGGCAATGTCTGACTGTGAAGGGAGTGCCAAGAAAGTACATTGCACTAATCAAGGCACTCTATTCAAACTCATGTAGCCGTGTAAGGGCTTATGGGTAATGGTCATCTGAATTGGTAACAACCAGTGGTGTCCGGCAGGGATGTCCACTCTCCCCATTTCTGTTTAACTTCATCATAGATATGCTGATGGAAGTATCCTTAACTGAACGTAACGACTTAAGAATCGACTTGTTACCAGGGAATAGTCTTATGAACTTAGAATATGCAGATGACATAGTCCTGTCAGGGGAGGATGCTGACAAAATGCAGAGTTCTGAACACCTTGAGCAGCAATCTTCGTATGTTTGGTATGCGATTCGCCCCTGCAAAATGTAAGATGCTGCTACAGGACTGGACTACGTCAACTCCTAGCTTAGTGACAGGGAGTGAAGTGATAGAACATGTTGACCACTTCACCTATTTACGAAGTTGTATCAGCACCAACGGACTTATTGGCGACGAAATCTCAGCAAGCATCCGAAAAGCTCGAGCTGCTTTCGCTGACTTACACCACCTCTGGCGTAGGCGTGACATTCGGCTATCAACCAAGGGACGTGTGTACTGTTCATCAGTTCGCTCCGTCCTTCTCTATGGCTCTGAAACATGGCCAATACGCGTTGAAGACACGAAAAGGTTGACCGCTTTCGATCATAGATGTCTGCGATCCCTGTCTCACGTTAAGTAGTTTAACAAGGTAAGTAATGTTGACGTTAGGCGTAGAGTGTTGGGCAAACAGGGAAAATCAATCGACGAGGCTATAAAGTTACATAGATTGAGATGACTAGGTCACGTGCTGCGCATGAATAACCATCGCCTCCCCCGACGGGCATTACTAGCTGATATAGGTGTAGGTTGGAAAAAGTTAAGTGGTGGCCAAACAAAAACATGGCATCAATCCATGAAATCCTTGACAGTCAAACTGAGTAAGGTAGGGAGATGCAGACTTCCGGGTTGAGGCCCTTGGGACTCTGGGAATCAATGGCTGGAGACAATAGGTGATATGGCGCAAAATCGTTGTCAATGGCCAGCGCAGATGTATTCAGTCTTTATAATCTTTCATATTCCTTTCTACCATTACCCATTCTGTTTCACTCTTATACTTGTTAGACTGTATTGATTCTCTTCACTCATCTTCTTGTCTACCTCTGTGTGCTATTTGGAACGTGGCAACTCGAACTGCTGCACTTGGGTGCCAAGTTCTATGTTGAATCCAGACAGACAGACTTGATTTTAAGTATGATATCATCACTTGTTGATCCTCAGAGTTTGTGTAGTTCTTCGCAATGAATACTGACATCACCCCCACCTAGGTTAATATTGTGTAGTAATTTTGTAATTTGATTGGTAGATTGTATCATTTTGTTTCATGTGCATGTAGTCGAAGTATTTGGTCCAACTCATTGTGTCTGGTGCTAGAGTCTTAGGCCGTGCATTCGCCCAAGCTGTTAAAGAGGAGTATGCGTCGAGTCAAAGGGCGGCTAGTGCCCGTCGTTCAAATGCATCTACAGATAACTCAAATACCTACGTCCAGAACGCTGGCATGTCGTTAGAAGAAGCCAAACAAATACTCAACATAAAAGATATTCATGATAAGGATACTCTGAATAAACATTACGAGCATCTTTTTTCTTCGAATGCCAAAGAAAACGGTGGTACACTTTACCTACAATCAAAGGTAAGTAAAGCATACGTCACATCCATTTTTCACTTGCAACTTTCGTATCGTTTGTCAGTTTATCCACAAAATGTTATTATTTGTTAGTTATTATTATTACTCCCCTGGGTTCCGAGTTGAACATAGGTCTTCAACAACACATCTCCACTTCGTTCTATTTGGTGCTTTCCTTTTTAGCTGGGTCCATGATTGCCCATAATCTCTCGTCTCATCTCCACACTATAATTTCCATGTCACCCTTGCACTGACGACCCACTGGTCGCTTCCCATTCGGATTCCACTGGAGAGATGGCCTGGCACACTATGCCATTTGATGGCCTCCTCAACGTATGCCTGATCCATCTCCATTTTCTCCTACATATTTGTTGAACGATAGGTTCTTGGTTGGTTTGTTGCTGAAGTTTCTTGTTGCTAGTTCCTTCTGGCCGGCAATTTGATCTCCGGTATGGAGCCGAGAAAGCCAGCTGTTTGTAAAGGTCTGTAACTTGTTGGAAATCCTTTTCGTAACACGCAGTGAAAGTTTCTGATCCGTAAGAAAAAAACTGACTTCACATTTGTTTTGAAAATCCGAATCTTGTTCTTTATGCTGGCTGAATGAAGCAGAAGATTTCCTAACTGCTTTCAGGTTGATGGAAACGTATCTTGCCTCTCCGATTCTGACCAGCTTTGACGTCTCCATCCATTCTGGTTACCTGGGGTTGAACAATGTTTACTGTCTAGATAAGTGATGCAGGTCGATGAAGGCGTATCTTGCCATTTCGCGGTCGATGAAGTTCATGTAGAGCTTTGACCACCATTCTATGCTTTGTTTGGTGACGATGCGTAGCGATGCAGTTCGAGCAGCACATGATTTGCTTTTCCTGAATCCAGCTTGTTCCGGTGGGTAACGGAGCTTTGTATCCAATGCATATTTTATCCTCTCCAGGATGACATGACTTAGTACTTTACGTGGTGTGGATAAAAGCATTATTCCATGCTAGTTGCCCTTCTTTGGTAGCTTGACAAGGTGACCAGGCTTTCTTCCAATCGGAAGGCACCTTTTCTTCCTTCCAAACCTTTTACAATAATGGTATGAGCACATCCACCGAAGTCTCTGGATCCGTTTTCACTGCTTCGGGAGCAATTCTGACTGAACTTCAGTAGCTTGGTTGCATTCAGGACTTCTGCTTTGGTTGTAGGATTTGTGTCTACTGGCAGGCAGGTCTGTGCGTACTGTTGTTGTTGTTGGTATTTCTGGCCGAGTTGCAGGTAGTGGTAGGTTCAAGAGTCCTTTGAAGTGGTCAACCCACTGTTTTATTTGTTCCTCCTCCTTGATAGTTTGGTTCCCTTGAACATTTATTGGTTTCATCATCTAGGTTAATCTCTTCCCCGATAAGGACCTGGTTATATGATGTAATGTTTTGAGGACTGCCTGTTCTGCTGAATATGCCAGTGTGTCGTAGAATTGTCTTTTATCTCCTCTAGCACTCTTCTTTTATTCTTTGTTCAGTGCAGTGCACATTGAACTCAGCTTCTTCTGTTGTCCATCTTCTTATTGTGTCATCTTCTCTTTCACCATCTTCTTCTCCCTGATTAGCTTCCGGGTAGGTGTCCGTTGAGAGCAATTCCCTATCTTGTCTCTTCTTCATTCCTAAAACAGTTGTACATGTTTCCTTGAACATCACCTTCAGAGAGTAAGTTCCAGTGTCCTCCCACGCAGGTTTCCTCAGTGATGCCACATAGTGTCTCCAAATTTGTTCTGATCTGTAGTAAAGGCATTCCTTGTAGCTTTGTCTTTCAGTGGCCTGTCTGCAGTTGTTCTGAAGGATTTCAGCTTCACCTAGAGGATTCTTCTACGGTCTGAGCGCACACCTGCTCCTCTTCACGACTTTGTGTCCAACAGACTAGCTGCGTCTCCACTTCCTTGAGGAGCGGTGAGATGAAGCCTATCTGGTTTGTGGTGTGTATGCCTGATGATTTCGCAAGGCACCTCCTGTCAGATATAATTCATTGTTGAGTATGACTTTTATTGAGATAATAAATTCATTACATTGTGAAAATAACCTTCAAAAACCATAAAATAATAACGGTTAATTTCTGACATAATGATTCTTTTGAAGTGTCCAGTTCTGACACTTTTCCCTGATTTTCATACTGAATATGAAACTTTATTTGACTACTTTAGGGCTATATTCATCCTGTATGATCTATGTTAGTTTCCTTTTGGAGTATGTGGTTTTTTCGGAGTGGTGACATATATTATTCTCTTCGCTGACTCTGTGATCAATTCTGTCATCTGTCTCACTTGAATATTTGCATGAATACGTTAGAAGTCGATGACTTGGAACAGACGGTTCAGGTAGCAGGCTATGCATGTTACTTGTTATGTGAGGGGGGATGGCACTATTCAGTAGACAAAATCATTTCCTGACAGTTGTATTTAGCTGTGTAGGGGAATCTAAGTGTACTGATTAGGTTCTGTAAGATGAAAAATACATTTTAAGAGACCAAATTATGTCTTAAGAAGCCACCAGAGTGATACGAGTGCACCCGTATCCTTTACTTTGTAACCGGTTTGTAGTATCTTTAGTTTATTGATGTGACAGTCTCATGTTACTTTTGAGATTGTCATCCTCACTATTTATCTTTCCTTATTTATGTGTGATGATACGTTTCAGCAATTCACTCTGATACTTATGTCACATCTTATATTATCTATATCTGTCCAGTTGTTTAGTGTATCATTGTTTTCAATGATTGCTTGAGAAGTATTATATGAAACACGTGTCTTTAATATACTCCTTGGAACTACTTGACAAACATTTTGTACTTTTCTTTTATATACTTTGTGTGATTTAGTATCTCATAGTAATTAATTAGTTGTTATCACATTGAGTACCTAAATCACAGTATATGTTGATATTTCTTCCAATTAACTTTCCCTTTTGTTCAGGTGTTTCGAGCAAAGGAACGTATTGATGAAGAAATACAGTTTGAACAATCTGAACGGCGGCAAAAGTCAAACAATAGAGACAATCACACTGGAACTTGAAATTATTTTGAAAAGAAAAAAAACCCTTTCATAAGATATTTTTAGTGTAAATTTACAGATCACTCACGATCTCATTAGTTTTGTCTATACTGTGATTGAATAAAAAATATTGTACAGCAATGATTTAATTGCTTTGAAATAACTTAGTTATATAACTTAAAGCTTGTGTATTTTATTTATGTGTGATACAGTAATTTAGGATGTACGAAAGCCTTAGAGTGATACTGTTTAAAGTGTATATGTATGTATATGTTGTCTAATTCGTCAATCAACAAATGTGTCGTCTATTCTGTAATATATGTGCGTTGTTCGTCTAAACTGAATTACGTGGAATAGATTTTTCATGTACCAGGCTGACAGTTACACTTATCATTTGCTGACTGATGATACTACTCAGTGGCCCTGTCTAAAATAGGTGTAGTGAGGCTCGAATCTGTGACCCATTGTCTGAAAACTGAGTGCTTGAGCCAATAAGTCACATCTTCACAGTGAAAGTGCATTAAAACGAGACTGAAAAGAAAATTGTCGTTCTGGGGGCGTCCCAAGAAGATATTTTTCGGTAAGATAGATTGGAGAAGTGAGCATAACTTTTGGATGCTGTTAGTGCAATAGAATGTCGCCTATGCGAATAATTTATACGTTAGTGGTGGTATTATTGCGGAATCTCACACAAAATTGGATTGTATTTGTTTAGTTAGTAACCGATTCTCCAATGATTGTAATTACTAACAAATGGTACGAACAAATATTCATGCTACTTTAATTATCAACCAGATGCGTACATGGCCTATAGGTTTAGCATATCGATCCATCTGGTAATCAGCGCCGACCAGTAGAACTAAAGGATTATACTTTTACATTTACTTATTGTTGGGACATAAAAATCCATAATTTAGAAGGGATAAGAATGTTTAAAAGAAAATTTGTATCATAGAGTACGAGTCATTAATTAATAGTATTGAGTTAGAATAGTTGTGGGCATTCCGAAATGTTGCATCCTATTTCCAGGTGCTTTTTCCCAGAAAATACATGCTTTCTAAGGGAAATCAGCTTTCTGAAACTTAGAATTGCGAAAATATGCTTTCAGTATTGATCAACTACGTGAGAACATCATCACTAACTGGGAAATGCAGGTACATCCAACTGATGAGTCCCAAATAGGACGAGATGCGCATCCTGGATTCCACTGCTAGTCACCATCCACCAATTATATACCGGATGCTCAGTTTTAATTATCTTTGAAAGCACATTCTACGATAACTGAAGTACTTTTTAGTCGGTTTATTTATATGAGAATGTGTAATAAAACATTATTTCGATTCCTAGATGTTTCACAAGTGTTAAGACTTTTTGTCATGACAAATTTGTTGCACATGTTTTATTTTCACGCAACAATGAAGTGCAGATACTATAAGTAGACTGAACTGATACAATTAAGCACGCCAAGAACAAGTGTCAGTTGCTTCTCAACTGCTTAAAGTTTAAATGCCAAAATGTTTACATTACAAAAATTAAACAAACCTTTGTTAATTCAATAAAAGGCTACTTCTGGGATCGTGGGAACAGTCATCGTAGAGAATGTGATAAAAAATCTCATCACTTATGGTGATTTAAAGGATGCCTTAGAAAAACATTTAAGAGGCACATAGGAACCATATATTAGAAACAAGGTGTTAATAAAAAACACAACATGGCTGAAAAATACCGCTTGAATGATTGATGTTAGCGTGACGATTAATATGAATGCTGTTCAAATAGTGGAAAATAGTTATAAAGCAGAACAGGCAATGTAATCAAAACAGTGTTAAGTTGAAAATTGTGTTGTCTTGAATACGTTGATTTGATTTCAGCCTTTTGACGCAAATTGTTTCAGTTATACGCAACCAACTGAGGTCCACTTGTTGATTACTTCGAACTATTTTAAATGGTACACAAAGTGAATAGTACTAGTGACCAGTTGATATTCGATTGTACTTATGTGGGTGTGGACTACGAGTCTTAACTCTTTTGAAATATACTCATGGATGAAGAGAAAGACGTCTTCATCTATCCTTTCACTTTAGATTAGTATATACAGCTTTAGGCAACATGAAATGGGAAGTTATCAACTTTCGATTGTTACAACGAACGATTGTGGAAATGCAACTTTTAACTATTTGTTCCTTGGTTTGACTGATGTCCCACCAACAGTATCCTCGGCTTGTAAGTGGTATTACCAGCCCTCCCATAATGGGTGTAGCTTACAGTCTGGTACCTGCAAAATTTATTCGACCTAACTAAGTTTTAATTAAAGAAGAATTAATCTGACAAGTTTAGCAGGCTGATACTTTCTTACTTAGTGTGATTTTGTTTCTTTTAAAAATGTCCATTTTGAAAGTAAGTTGTAAAGATACAGGTATATATCTTCTAATACACTTCAATCTTGTATCAGATTTTCCGTACTTATCGGTAAATTCCTTCGGGTAACTATTATCACGCTGGTACTTTCCGCTAATAGAATTATACCTACTGAACATTCAGCCTTAAAAAGTTCTCTTATAGTTAAATGTCTAATAGATACCATCACGAAGTAACAGTTATGTCGACTGATTCATGTTTATAAGACAAGTAACTGATTTGTCCCCCCTACATAAATTTCTTAAATATAAATTCAAAGTTATCAGTTCAATGTTTTGGGGCACAAAGTGTTCCTCATATACATGCATAAGTTATGTCGTACAACTGTAAAACAGAACCTAGATTTTTGTTATTCTTGTATTCTACCCTTGATATTTCTTTCTAATCTATGATAAAATGATTAGGATATATTAATTGTTGCATCAGAAATTTAGTGGTTATCTACGGGTAATAATAAAAACCAAAGGGTAAAGAAATTTGTTGATATTTAAAACTGAGAGCACATGTACAAAGGTATGCTGATGCTGACTTTCCTTTAATCTAAAGTACATTATCACTTCACTTTTCCTTTCGTCCATATTATCCTTTCATTCTGTTTATTTTACTGTAATGTCTGGCTAAATAAATTAATCTATCTTGGTTCCATTTCCTGTGTTTGTACTTCGTTTCTGTGAAATCATAAAGCTACTCTTGAAGTTAACTTATCTACTAAGAAGCCTGTTGTGGAGAACAGAAATATGATTTTATATATTTTTTTTTTCGAGAAGTTAAAAATAACATTCATTCCTATCAGAACACGGTATTTATCCTTTGTCTAAAATCGTCAGTGGAACCAGCTATGGTATGACTATACGTGTAAAACTGTGACTTTTAGTTCTGTTATTTGTGCTGTTAACAAACTTTATATACGACTAAAATTCAAGGGCGATATACCAAGTGACGTAATCACGAGGAAATTAAGAAAATCAGTTCAAAGAACTTTTACTGCTGGTGAACTACACGTCTTATTCTCTACACGACTGATGGTGCTACCTCGACTGAAAGATGAAGTACCTAGACTAGCCACTTCAAAATGTATTTACCAATTCAATTGCGCTTGTCGTAGAACGAGTTATGTTGGCCGTTGCTTTAGGAACTTGATTTTTCATGCTCGAGAACATCTTCCACTATGGCTAGGTAAAGGTGTAGTTAAAACCATTAACAGTTCGATATTAGACCATCTGGTGCAAACCGTCCACAAAGCCAGCGTGGAAGAATCCTTTATAATCTGTCGGGTGCCTAATAAACTGCCAAAATCATCGAAGCACCGCATGCTCCAAACAGTAGAGGCTATCGAAATTCGCCTGAAACAACCAGTGCTGTATGTTCAAAAGAAGCAGGTCCAGCCCCTTGTACTGCCCTGGCCTTCAGTAGAAACTATAAATTGATGAATTTATAATATTATCTTTCCTAATTTTTCTGAAATTCAGCTTATTTGATGTTGATGCTATTGAGCTGTAATCTATCAGTATTATTGATTCGATGTTATTTAAACAACATTAATGTTGTTCATAACACTAATTCATTCATTCATTCACTATAATGTATATATAACTGTAGAGCCTGATGAAGAGTAGGTTATCTAAAAGAGTATTCTCTTTTCAGTATCTATTCGTTTGAAAACAATGAAATAGTTGAATGTAAGTCGGACTATATTGATTTCCTCAGGTGTTGTAGAAATAGTGGGAAGTGGTGGTTGACGTTGATCAGATACAATGCATACTAAGGTACTTGGATAGACCATTATCATTTTATCAGCTATGTCATCTAAATCCACCAGGTTAACTGATTTACTAGATGTGATGCTCATAATCTGTAGGACACTGTATAGAGTAGTCTTTGTAGCCATATTTACTTAAGGACAGCTTCCCTGAGATTATATGCCCCAATGAAGTTGTTTTCACAAATCGGAGGAAGTGACTTTGTTTTCTGGCGCCTAGGTCACAAGCAGCAAGTAACTTCTGAGGGATGTTTCCCCTCGAGAACAAGTATTCTCTGAATAATTACTACCTTAAGTTGACCAAAATATTACATCGTCTGGGACAAGGTTACATGGATTCCACAAACTGAACATCGTGATAAACTTTATTTTCTTTAGAAAAATATGTATTTTTGTATAACAAAAGTGAGATATAAATTCTATCAGCTGATTAAGTAATGTAAATAAATCAAAATAAGATAGAGAATTTTTTCACAAATAAGTTTGTAATATAAATAAACTAAAAATTTCATGAAAAATCTCAAGGAGGTCGATATGACTTCTTTTATCCACTTGAGTAATTGATGATGCTGAGTTAAGCTGAAACAGTAGATTGTATAAAAATTGTCATAGATAATTACGACACTGAAAAAGACCTAAATTGACAAGTGATGTCATTTAAACAAATACTTAAAGTCATATAGAGTTGAAATGATGCTTTATTCTGAAAGTTCAGTGCATTTATTTTTCTAAGCACACGGTTTTATACTTTTACATAACGACAAGAAGTAGTGTGGCGTGTGATACTTACAGCATTTATCAGTAGTTTCAAGATGTAGATTGGTAGGAAGCGGCCTACAGTGAAATCAACACTTTAAGTCAATGGCTGTGTGTTTATCTCTCAAATCTGGATGTAGTTTACGTTATGGACATGAAATAATTTCACTACAGAACGTTTCGTCCTATTGTTTAACCTTGCGCCAATTGCCAACCAATCAGAACAGTCTATAGTCCACTGACCTAGCCGACTTTCAATGTGGTTAAAAGTGTATAAATATGTTGTGCTTAACCTCAATATAAAAAAGGTCGTTACCAACTGTCTTTTCTTCTTCCATTACAGTGGAACATTTATCTCTTAAAATTAAGGTTCTTGGTTCTGATGCCTGGTGAGGTCAGGAGTATGTACAACTAAAGAGTCATATACTAGGATGACAAACCGATTCAGTGCTTCATTGTTTTCGATGGTTCTCTATATGATGTGAGCTGTTTACCAATTGATCCTTAAAATCAAGCAAACTCCCGCAAACCGACATTACTTTCTAGTGGAAAATTGACGGTTATTATTAGTAGTAGCAGTAATATTGTTATTTAAAACAATTAGTATCTTTACTGAATTCGAATAACGTTGTTAAAACATGGAGTTTATCTCAAAAATATATATCTGTGCAATACACAGTCTGATTACACATTCACTTGTCAATTAAATTTATATGACAAAAGTTTAAAGTCAATAGAAAATTACCATATAATTAGATAATTAAGAATAAAGGCAACAATAAAGAATAGATATCATAGTCAAACAACTTTGAATCAGCCGATCAGATTCCGAGGTCTTACAAATGCATGATTTTTATAGTCTTCGTTTAGACATGATGGAGAAGATTTGTAGCTCAGGTGGATGATACTGACGCAGTTGTGTCCTCTGAGCTGGATAGTTTATTTGCGAAGCTTTCATTGCTCTATTAGGTAACATCTTCAGCGTATACTTCGATTTGAAGTGAGCTTTTAGATTTCTCCACGAGTTTATTAATCGTCTCTCCTGGTGATCTTGGACGTAATTGGTTGTTTTTGCGTGTTTTCACTTCCTCTAGGCTACTTGTATTGGATGTGATTGTTTCTTTGACGTGAACTTTGACCCTTTGTGTGAGATTTCCTTCTTACCGATTGGTAAATTTTGTCTATGTCTATTGATTGACGATTTACTGGAATACCAGGATTAGAATCCTGGTATTCTAGCACTCTCTAGCATTCTTGTTGTTTCCTCTGTCTAATATTTGAACTCTGGTTGTCCCAGTCGAATCGATGTCCGTGGTTGTCTGCATTCAGTGATATGAGGGAGTGGATGTCATGTCTTTTGACGGCTAGCTTATGTTCGTGGTTACGAAAACGAAGGGTACGTCCACTTTCGCCGATGTAGTGTTTTTCGCAGTTGTTACAATTTATTTTGTAAATGATGTTGGTTTTATCTTCTTTCGTTGTTGATCTGACTGTCTTGTTCAAGGTCACTTGACTTCGGTGTCGTTTGCTTACTGATGACATAGTAGGGAACCTAATAACTGACACTACTCTGGATTTATTACGAAATATAGTGTGATTCATTATCCTCCTTACTCTTAAATCTCTTATTATTTTGTTTACTTCAATTAACCTTTCATTTTTTAGTTTTCATACAAGTAAATTTTTGATGAGACTGTATTGCCAAGATACATGAAATTTTTTAGATAAACTTCATCTCTTAATAATACTGTGCAAACTATTGTTATTGTTATGATTGTTATTCATTGATTGATTCATTCATCAGGAAGACTACTAAGTGAGCATGAGATAATAAATATTTTCCAAAGTAACACATAAAGTTAAATTCAAAGCTGAGTTTTTATAAAGAGATGGCAGACAGGTTTCGAAAACTTCTTTCCTGAAGGCAACAAAATTAGGCTAGTTAGAATATTGTTCACCTGTGCGCTGGTATGCGTTTATAAGACGAACTTAGGGAGGAGGAGTTGATATTGTCGTACACCTTCATCAACATATAAAGAGAATTTTGTATAAAACTTATTGGATACAGCACAATAGAATAGAGTTTGTCTTTCCTTTTGATGAAAGTATAAGGTACATTCAAGTATTATATGAGAAACTTCATACATTTATTCCCCTTGATGAATTTTAATAAAGCAAGAACAACAGGGGTTTGTGGAGAATAATATTGTACCATCATTTTTTTCGTCGGCTCCTCATCAGCTTAGCTGCTTACAGCCTAAATAAATAATGAGGTTTATGTGCGGAAAAGTTTTAACATACATGCAAATTTCACATGTTGTCAGTTGACAGGATGTTCCACAATTAATGAATAGTACTCAGAAAATTGCGCTTATATAGTTTTTACACAGGCAGTTCAAGTTTAAACAAAATAAGTGTATGCATACAATGGTAAAGGAGTTACGTAATAAAGACGAGATATGCGTTAGATGCAGAGTGACTAATAAATTAGGTAACAATGTACTGAATCCAACTGAGATCATAGAAACAAGATACAAGCTAAATTACAGATTATAAAAGGGAGTGAGGTTAAAGACAAAAATTACGTAATCAGACGAGAGAAAGAAGACATCCAGTCACCTTGTTGATACACCTTAGTAAGATGTATCTGCGTCGTGATGACGACTTATCCAGCTTAGTGACTGACAGAATTCAGTCTGCAACAACACGAAGAACTTGATGCACGACATTGGTTATACTTTAGTGACCAGTCAAGTGTATTTAAATGCTAATCTGAAGGTACATTTTGCAGATCTTCTGTAGATCTGTTTTGGCATAAAAGAATTATTCCTTATCATAGTCAAAGCTAAATAAGCTTTCATCTCGTCACCTCCAACTGTTGCATAGACATTCAAAAACAGCGGGTATATGAGAATGAAAAATAAAGCGACTTCGGATTATATCCATCACACCTATATTGGAAATAAGAGAACTTGAGGTTAAAACACTTATACCATTTGTGTCGTGTCTCACCTATTATATAATGCACTTAGGGCGGACGGCCTTAAATTACTTGAATTAATCAGCAGATAACACACTATAATCTCGTAACGACAGAAGGCAAAAGTCAGGCAACAGACCGTTTATCAAGAAAATCAACACCTATTCATAGATTTTCACGTACATTATTATAGATTATTGTTAGCAGACAAACATAGTCTCCTGATTGGTTGTTTCTCACTGAAAGTTCATCTTTCCTCTCTTTGTGGCTGTCTCGTGAAGGTCAGATCATCTATCTGCGAATTGTATCTGCCCACGCAAAGTCTGCTGTGATTGGTTGTTGAGTCAGTCCTTGTTCTTGTTTTCCTCATGACCAATATTTGGGACGTAAGCGTTGACGTAAATTTCTGTGTACCAATTTTGGCTAGCAGACAGCTCTCACCACAATCTTATTACGTTTTGTGTGAATGGGTATATTGCGCATGGTACTAATTCTCCATGGATCATCTGTGTAGTGATTGGGAGACATTCTTACGACACATAAGCTACAACTATACAGTGTAATATCATGTTTGCAATGTTTTATAGTGCGTTCTTCAACGATTATGTGACTTTTTGCACTTGAATTCTGATTGGTTGTTCAAGGTCATTGCGGTTTTGGCTATGATAATTTAACTTTATCAAGTTCCTAAACATATGGAACCCTTAAAAAAATGTAGATCATCAGCTAATGGTATATGCCAAAAAGGCGCAGTAACAAATAAGGAAACTTTAAAAAATGCAGTGATTCTAGTAGTTAAGCAACGTAACATTATAAGAAGAGGTAAGCAAATAACATTTATAGTGTAATAATATTTCATGATTTTTAAGCATAGATAAAAGTACGGCTCCAGAATATCGGTCAGTTTTGTGCCATGTCATTACGGGTGTCGGGTTTCATTCGGTAGTGTATAAAATGATTAATCAGCTGGCTGACCCTGATGTCAGTCAACTGAAATTTATTCATTAGAAAACGTGTACACTGTCCACATGCAAGCAGGTGTCAATGTGGTAATCTAGTGTAGGTAACTCAGGCATTTCTGATTGGTACGTTTCACCCAGCTTACTTAGACTAGGCTAATCAGTTGATTATGGCCTTTATCCGTCAATTACTGATTTCTTAAACTATATGAATACAGTCATCCGATCTTTCTTCCATTCTTAAAAAGCTTGAAAAATGAGTACAAAATTAATACATGGCTGAAACAAACTGACTTGGTCATCTACAGGTTTCTGTTATGCTAATTGTACTCCAGTTAGTTATACGCATTGGGTTTATTTTGTAACTCCACAGATCTGATTGATCACCTTTCTAGAAAACCTTATGTCTAACCATCTAAATATTAATTTAATGGGCTAGGTTAAACTTTTAGCACCACTAACTACTAATCAGCGAATGACCTTGAATGGCCCAATGAGTTTCATCCACATGAGTATAAGGTTCTATTCCATTTGATTCGAGTTAAATTTCAGGGAAGGTAAGCTTATGGTTCTAATATTTCGTAGGAACATTTTTTTGCCAGGTCCCACTTTTCCTTAACCCAGATTTTCTAAATCTGTAGTTATTGGGTTTTAAGACAACGTGTGATAGTTGCAGCTGCTAAAACAGAAAAAATAGTCTTCTATCAACAGTTCAGTGGTACAAGCACTGCAGTGATATCGCATCATGGAAACTGGAGAGAGTTACTTTGTTATTAGGAGGAGAAGGTGTCATTATACACGTGGATGAGTGGAAAGGTTATAACTACCTGTTATCCCTTGGATATATTCACCACAGAGTGAACTATTCTAATGATTTTGTGGATCTCATTACAGGGATACACATTGGTTCTGTACAGGGCTTTTGGGGAAGGTGAAAAACAGGATTAGAGACATTAATGGATCTCAAATGGATATCATTTGTAGCTATTTAGATGAATATATGTAGAGAATATAGTGCAACTTCCAGTTGACACTCCTATGTTCAGATGGGAGATGTTTTTACCACATGTTGGAGAAAGGTATCCCATGAAATATTTTGATACATTTTCTTCGTAAATATATGTATTCCATACCCAAAAGTGCCTCCTTCATGTGAATGGTGCATTCAAGGCCAATCACTGATTGGTGGTGCTTAAAGTGTAACTTTGCCATCTTATGAGTTAAGTATATACATTTAAACATATACGGCCGATTAGTTAAAGAATTTCTGGGTATGCACATGCATTTGAGAAGTTTAATAAAGGATTGTATTAAAACCCCGGTATATTTATTCCCTATTCACATGATATACCAACGCTTTCCAATCTTATGAATAAAATGATGCTGTTCTCCTTATTATTGACTACCTAAACTTTAATTTTAGCCTATTAATGCATAACGACTTTAAAAAGTTAAGCTTAGTGTGTTGAACTTTGATGCCAGTTAATAAAATGCTGCTGATAATCATTAATAACACTTAAAAGATCACATTTATCATATTACAATAGCAAACCCACTTGGCTGAATAGTAGACAAGCTTTTTTCCATTTTCATTTTGCTTCGTATTTCGGTAGTTTGTGCAAGTGGCAGTTAAGAAAAAGGCTAAGCACAGAAAAACAAAACACAATCACAGTGTTGCTGAAGGTTCGTATACACAAACAAATGCATAATGTTTTGTAATTTGCATTATTCCCTTAAAAATTCAGCCTGATGCAAACAGATTAAACTTTTAGTGATGGTGGCTTTTACCTCTAGCAATTTGTACTCCAGTCGATCAATTTATATAAAATAGTTCTATAAGAGGAAACACGTAACCACTGGGATCTCACCTAGTAATCACTAGTGGTTTGATGCAAGTGATTTCCACATATCCTCACTGATAAGGAGTGTACATCTTTTTGTAATTCTTGGTTTTATTTATGGTACTAAGAAGATTACATGTTGTGCTTTGGATGTTTTGGATTTCCAAATGACACTGTGGTAGATTTCAACTTGGACTGTGCAGTTTTATGAGATTGAATAAATACCAAAGAAGTAATATACCTTAACTTACTTACTCGGTAGTGTTTAAAGTGCTGTGTTCGAGCTCCACCGGAAGAACAACTAAACCATTAAGCTAAATCCCGTTTTTTGATTTCAGCTCTCACAACAATTTAACACAATTAACGAATATTAGTTTTATTAAGTTGTATAATTTAGTAAATCAACGTATAATATAATTTCACAACTAACCATAAGGAAACTAATTTCTCATTCTCTTTTGTCTGATGAATGAAGGTTAATATCTTTATTACTTTGAAAGTTTTATACGCTAAAATTGCATGTTTTGAGTAATTAACTGCTAAACTGGTTGGCAACTGACTGATCGAAAGAACTGTGGCATCCAGAAAGGAAGAAATCGGGCTTAATTCAGATGAATAACGTGAATTAGTATTATTGGTTTTAGTTACTAGAGGCCAAATATTTTCAAGTATTGCTTTTGTAGGGATTTTATTTGATTGGTTGAACGATTTCATCATGAGCTGACATCATTTAGAGAACCATTGGAAAATGCAGGATTACTGGACAGCTGTTTTGTCCTAGTGCTCCGGACTCTTCACCAGTACGCACCCGCCACCAGGGTTCGAACCCAGGACCTTCTGGTTACAAGGCAAGCTCTTAGATGATCTAACCACTGGGACCCGATCTAATGGCCCATGAATTCTAACTTCTCCCAACTCATGACACATAGGGTCCCAGTGGCTTAATGGTCTACGAGCTCGTCAGCCTTATAAAACAGAAGGTGCTGGGTTCAAACCCACGTGGGTGCTTACTGTCAAATATTATTGTAAATGTATTCTGGTGTTGAAATTAGTATGACGTTGAAAGAAGAAAGCATCAGTTTAACTGTATTCTATGCTAGATGAGGTTTATGTTTATTTGACTAAACCAAACCACTTCGTTCAGTGAAGAGGCTATTTCCAACAAATTCATATTCTTTAGCTGTACAGCCACACTTATATACAACTTTTCATGAAACAGGGTAGTAACAGAATTGATGAGTTGTCACAATCATAGTTTCTAATATTAGTCAATGCATAAGAGAAGTTGAATAAGTGTATTAGAGTTGCATAATATAATGAAAAACTTAATGACTGAGCTGTAATCGGAATGCACACAGAAACGAAGGAAAATATGCAATCCCGTAGGAATTCTAACGAAATACAAGGGTTATAAGGAGTAAGAAAAACAAATTGACAAAAATCAAGTCCATCAAAAATGCCCATTAGAAATTTCAAAAGACTGACCGGTGAACAGAATATATTCTTTTCGATAACTTCTTCAGCAGGTTCTACAGTTATATATCCAAAATAATGAAAGATTTAGGGTGTAGTGATTAACACCAAAAGATCGATATTAGACTACCTGGTTCAAACCGGACACAAAGCCAGCATTGAATAATCTTTCGGATACTAAATAAACTGACGAAAGCATCCAGGCACCGAATACTCAAAAACAGCAGAGGCCATTGCGATTCGCCCAAAAGAACTGATGCTCTGTGTGCAGAAGTAATAGGTCAAGCCACTTCTACTGCCTTGGCCTTCTGTGGAGACTGTAACTTCATGAATTCTGTATTATTGTTTTTCTTAATTTGCCTGAGATTCAGGGCAGTATTATGTTGATGCATATTATCACATATGCGACTGAACTGTAATCTGTTGATAATATTGATTCGATGTTATTTAAACATTAATATTGTTAATAACCCTAATTCTTTCATTATTATGGATGGATATATAACTGTAGAACCTGATGACGTTAACAAAAAGAATATTCAAGTGTTGGTTTGCAGGGATTTGATTGGTTTCAGGATTTCATCATGAGCCTAACGGTATACGAGCTCGCCTTGTAACTGGAAGGTCCTGGGTACGAATCCCGGCGGGTGCGTACTGATGAAGAGTCCCAAACTAGGACGAAACAGCTGTCCAGTACTCCCAGGTTTTCCAATGGTTCTCTAAATGATGTCAGCTCATGATGAAATCCTGAAAAAAAAGAATATTCTTTGTTCAGTAATAAGTCCTTTGAAAAATCGAGTTAGTAGAAATCGATAAGGTTTTTACCATGGTAGTAGGAGTGGTTGAATAATTTTTTTCTTTGTTTGCATAACTCTGGTTTCTTTATGTGAATGGCTAGAGCTTCAGCAATGCAAAGAAGACAAAAGTGCATTGACTTTAGCAGGTTGTTCTTCACTCTGTAGTTACTTTGAAGTAGGCGTCTGCTGAAGTAGAATGACCGGTGTTGACGCAGGTTGCTTAACTAACGAGAAGATTCGATCGAACCTTAGGAAGGTCAGTCCATAAGAAACCCATTTGGAACGATCAGTTGACGATTTGTAACATTTGTGTGCCTGTTGAATGAAAACTACGTTTAATTAAACCCATTGTCACTCCCATCTGACACATATGCAGTCCGGACGCCCTAGAGTTCATTTTCTAGTGCTGTCTAATCCATCATCTTAATTCGTCTCTGCAACTAAGACATTTACATTTGTTAGATAGTAGAATAGATTTCACAGAAAGATGACATTATCAAATCTTTATTCAGTGTGTGTTTTCACTGTCATCTTAACTCACCGTACCAATAGATAGCCGAAAACTCATTCATAAAGTGTCCAATAGTGTGGAGTCTGGAACAATATGATTGTACATAGCTTTTGTTTGAAACGACTCATTGTAAAACATATATACCTTTACAGTACAATCTGAAATACAGTCTGCTACTATTCGCTTCGTCTTCTCACTCATCCATACTGTCTATTTGCTGTATCCTTCTGATTTTTTCAGGAACCTCTCATCCTCATCCGAAGACTATTCTACAATCTGAGCACAGCTTCTATTAATAGGCACGACCCCAGCAGTGAAACCTTCTGTGGATTACATTAATAGTTTGTAGCAGCGGACTTTAACTGTATCACCAAGTAACCGTTAATTTCTATAACTTGTTAACTGTATTATAATAATATACTGTTACAATATTCTTTCGTCGACTAGGATTTCTATTCCAATATTTTGTGTCATTACAGAGCTCATTGTTAAGTCCCCTACAATTGTTCGAAATGACTGAGTCCTGTGTAGATCGAAAAAAGTGTTATTCCTGAGACGTTTTAAGGGCACAAGAGAAGACCGCTGTCTTGTTTATGATTTTTAGGGTTCCTTTTACTGGTTTTGCTACACTTGGCTTCCAGTTGTTTAACTTAATTCATGTATCTAGTTACTTCTCATGAGATCAACTTTGTTTTAACGGGACTGAAAATTATCTGTACTTCACTTAAAAATAAAATGCAATTCTGTGTTTAACTACATATGTTTTGGTGAAAAGCAGGTTTCACTTAAGTGACCTTCATTTTGTTTATGTAACATGTCGAGGAAGAAGCTATATATATATATATATGTATATAGACAACAACGGACTTGATGACGCCATTACTGGAGAAGGCGTGGAAAGAGGGCAAAGTACCTGAGGATTGGAAGAAAGGATACTTATTCAAACTACCAAAGAAAGGAGACTTAAGTCAATGCAAGAACTGCCGCGGAATTACGCTCCTGTCCATCCAAAGCAAAATACTAAGCCACATCATCCTGGAGAGAATCAAACAAGCCAACCTGGATGAAAAACTTCGACCGGAACAGGATACATTCAGAAGAAACAAGTCATGTATCGATCATATCGCCAAACTACGGATCAGCATTGAACAAAGCTTGGAATGGCAGTCACCTCTCTATCTCAACTTCATCGACTTTGAAAAGGCCTTCGACAGCGTCGATCGAGAGGTCATTTGGCAGCTACTTCGCTACTACGGGGTCCCATCGACAATTATTCATCTCGTCCAACAGTTATACGACAATGCTGCATGCCAAGTAATCCATAATGGGAAACTTACGGAATCCTTCGAAGTGAGGACCGAAGTATGGCAAGGCTGTCTACTATCGTCAATGACTTTCTTGATTGCAGTAGATTGGATAATGCGACAGACAGCGGGCCGGGAAGCGAGGAAACAGGCATAAAATGGACTCACACAAGAAACTTGGAAGATCTGGACTTCGCCGATGATATATGTCTGATTTCCAACAAACTGGAAGATATGCAAGTGAAAAGCAACAAGCTGGCAGAAGAAGAATCCAGAGAAGATAGGACTTCAGGTGAACGTAGATAAAACAGAGGTGATGTAGATTCCTGGACAACATCAACAGCAACAACAACAGACAACAATCAGCATAAATGGGAGGAACCTGAAAGAAACAATCTCCTTCACCTTCCTACCTGGGAAGCATACTTTCAACTACAGGCGGAACTGATGAGGATATCAAAGCCAGAATCGGAAAATCAAGACAAGCTTTCATTACTCTCAGGTCCGTGTGGAGGTCAGCAGCACTCAGTATCAAAAATAAGATACGGATTTTCAACTCCAATGTGAAGTCAGTGCTACTATATGGATCACAGACTTGCACTGCTTGTCATAAAAAGCATCTCAAACAAACTACAGACCTTCATTAACAGTTTTCTTCGCGCAATACTCAAGATCAGATGGCCGGCCAGAAAAGATCAGCAACATGGTTCTCTAGGAGCGAACCAACCAGTAACCGATTGTGAAACAAATAGGGAAGATGAAATGGAAATGGATTGACCATACTCTGAGGAAACAAACCATCAAGTGAGTGACATCACCAGACAAGCCCTCGAGTGGAACCCTAAAGGGAAGCGGCGAGTTGGTCGTCAATGCAAGGGTGACTTGGAGGAGGTCATGTGAAGAGGAGGTGAAAGCGTGTGGACAGACTAGGAGTTAGGTGAAAACGTTGGCAGAGAACCGAACCCAATGGAAACGCGCGGCTGAAGCCCTACGTTCCTCTAGGAATCAAAGGAAACAATATATATATATATATATATATATGATGATCTGATCTAACTTTTGGTTTTACCCGTTGCAGGATCTTTAAATTCTTACGGAATTTCTCATTCATTGTTCCCAGCTGCCAAGCTTAAGGATTAAATTTTCAATCATTCATGGTTACGTGTCACTTGACAATTCTAAGGACTAACTGTCAGTGAAACTAGTTTTAGTATTAGTGATGACCACGTTTGCTATTGATCCATTTATTTACTGCGCTGATGTATAAATATTCTCTACCAACCAGTTTCAGCTAGGGATACCCCGCAATAGAGATTCTTCAGCTTCCAGGAGTGGTCATTCAAGAGATTTTAAGAGGTCTGAGTGCAAACCTATCTGTTGCGTAATGCGCTGAATTTCAACGGCTTAAAAACTCTCAATATTTCACTTAAGCGATTACCGGTTTCAAATAACTTTGAAAAACCTGTTATTTTTCAGTGTGCTTAAGCTACATACACAGTGGGGTCAATTAAATTAGTGGAAGAGTAAGAATATTGTACTGCTTCGTGAAAGTGTTCATTTGATCAACCACAATCAGACACATATTTTTAAGTATTAGTAAGTAAATTTTCTGTCAACTGGAGAATTCCTAGGTGATTTCCACTAGAATTTTAAGGTCAAAACCATCTTAAACAGACTGATTCCTTTTACTTTGATAAAACACACTTTTCTCAGATGTCTGTCAGAAGTTTCATTGTTGGATTACCGGTGATTCACAATTCCATCCCATGATTGACTCAGATTTCGGAGATTGTGATATTAAAGAACTGTTGTTTAAGGTGAGATTTAGGCATTTATTTGAATACTGAATGAACTGACCTGCCTTACTGATTACAGCTACTGAAAAGCGGCGTTTGATGAAGAAACAATTAAGTTGATCATATATTTATTTGAAGTAAGGGAATTTGACGAGATTAATGAGGAGTGGTGCTAATACGTCTTTGAAATCCCTGACTATAGGAATGATGATATCTAGGCTTTTTCATGCAAGGTAAAAGTCTACTTGAACATTTCCAGAAAAATCGCAAACACAGAGTCTCGTTAATATCCAGTCCTCGAATAATTACAGAAGGAATTGACAAGAGTAAGAATGATAACCACTCACTGGTAATGGAGTTTAACTTTTAGTCATTGGACCTCAAGTTGTGATCCCATTTTACCTATCTCATCCTGGAAAATGTAATTTATGGCCCATATCCAGATAATCAGTGTAGCTAATGAAATAGTACACAAAAACTCCGGGCTCTTAAATGAGATATCCATGCGGTAGATATTTCTAGTGAATTTAGCCAATGTAACTAATACTTGAAATATGAGTGAATTTTGATATTGGCAACAATTTTGAAATGCTCATAACGATAGCAAAATAGGTGAATCAAGCATTCGAATAATCAAGTGAATGTGAATGGCACAGAAATAAAAAAATAATTACTTTAAAATATGTTTTTAAGTACTCTTTTACCTTGATGACTGTGGTTTATGCCGCCGATTGGCAGATGTTGGTCTCAATTTAGTTGGTTCATCTAAATGTTTAAGTTGATAATTGATTGAATACGATGTTGTAAATTGATCTTCATTCGATGAATACGGTTTATGTAAACAATAATTCTGCCAATTTTTCAACGATATTTTATCAACAGTCATTGAACACTTCGGAATATGCATTAACCAATCATCTGTTGTGTCAACACTTAACCATTGTGTGGTAGTTTTGTCTTTAATTTGACTGAATATGTCTTTAGATAAAGTTGGTTGTGATACTATCCATCTGTAAGCAGTCATTGATGGTGTTAATCCTGGACGTTTCATATTGTTGTATGAATTATCCGCATTTGGCGCTTGTACCTTAGGCATGAATTCATCATTAGAAAACAATGATTCTTCACCCATTCTCATATGATTCACTGTATAGACAGTAGATTCACATTCCAAGTTATCATCTTCCGTTGAACAAGTGGTAGACATATATATTTCTAATAAAATAAATGACACACATAATCAGAGAGATAAAACTTGACTTGATCAATCCTTATTTACGTGCCTTAATGCTGTCAATCTTCTACAAAAAAATTCAGAGACTTAATTGAAATTCAAGTATTGTTTTGTAGGGATTTGGTTGATTGTTTACAGGATTTCATCATGTGCTGACATTGGTTAGAGAACCATTGAAAAACCTGGAAGTACTGGACAGATGTTTCATCCTAGTTCAGCACTCTTCATCAGTACGCACCCACCGGGATTCGAACCCAAGACCTTCTGGTTACAAGGCGAGCTCGTAAACCATTAAGCCACTGAGACCCGACCCAATAGCTCTATTCAAGTAGGTAGTTACCTGGGGTTCCAGTGGGAAGTCGTGACCAGTAGGGTACACAGCAGGTCGGGTGTGAAGATAAATACTCCCCGAAGACATTGGCTAGCGGTTGTGCTATATCTTTAATTGGCAGAAGTCGGAATTCATGCACTGGCAATTGGATCGGGTCCCAGTGGCTTAATTATCTACGAGCTCGCCTTGTAACCAGAAGGTCGTGGGTTCGAACCCTGGTGACGTGTGGGTACTGCTGAAGGTTCCCAAACTAGGACCAAACATCTGTCCATTACTCCCAGGTTTTCCAATGGTTCTCTAACCAATGTCAGCTCATGATGAAATCCTGTAACTTAATTGAAACCAAAAAAATTGCACGCTCATCCTGCCTTCTAAAATCTTCATGTCCTCAAAACATTTGCTGCTCTCAGTAACAAAGCTTTGTTATGAAAAGACAATGTGGTTTAAGACAGGACGGGTTTCTACTGGTTGAACCAGTTGATTAACTACACAAATTTCATAGATATGAATTATTTATGTCTCACAAGATTGAGAAAAAAATTCTTTATTCGAACATGATGATGATGTTCGTCGGGGGTTTGGCGGTAGAATGCTCGCCAACCACGCCTCATGTAGTCTGAGGTTTGATCCTCGGTCGACACACTCCTGAACCTCGTTAAGACGGTAGTAGGGACGATAAAGAGGGAAGGTTGGACATGAGACTAGCAACCTCACCCCGTAAAAAAAGCCCACTGCTACTGAAACTTTCAAGCCTCTAGCTTGAAGCATTATGTTCCACTGAGAACGAAAAAGAATAAAAAGATATGTTTAACATAAAATAAAGATATTCAACACCCCACAAACCCTAAAAACGACTCATTATTCATTGAATTCATGAAAAGTTTTCCTAAATTTTATTGAACAACAACGATCAGTTGTGTCTGTAGATTCAAAAGGTATCCATTTAAGACAATAATTTACAGTTAAACTGTTTAAGAAATTTCCATGAACTGAAAGACATTGGTCATTGAGTTTTACGCTATTAATTAGGTGGTAAGATGTTTGAATTGATATATAACTGTCTGTCTGCAACATCCAGCGCTAATCACCATCAACGGGAGGGATTTGAAAGAGGTTACTTCATTCACTTATCTAGGGAGCATTGTCTCAACTACACGCAGTCAGAACGGACGAGGATGTCAAATCGAACGAGAAACGGGAAGGTGAGAAACACATTCATCAACCTGAAATCAATCTGGAAATCTTCGTCACTCAGCATCAACAACAAAATTCAGTAGGATTTTCAATACAAACATAGAGGCAGTTCTTCTATACGGATCAGAAACTTGGCGGGCGGGTCACAAAGAATATTCCCAACAGCCTGTTTCAGACCTTTATCAACTAACAACTGTCTTCGCTGGATCTATGCTGAAGATCAGTGGGATGGCCGGGCCGGAAAGAATCACCAACAAGAAACTATGGGAACAAACAAAACAAGAACCAGTCGCTCAAGAAATATGCAGGAGGAAGTGGAGATGGATTGGACACTCTCTGAGGAGACCGCTGGGTGATATCTCGCGTCAAGCCCTCGAGTGGAACCCGAAAGGGAAGCGGCGAGTGGGACATCAGTGCGAGGGTGACATGGAGGAGATGGTGTGAAGAGGAGTTGAAACAGTATGGACTAACATGGATGCAGGTGAAAAGTACAGCAGAAGGAGACAGAAGCAAGTGGAGACGTGCAGTTGAAGCCTTATGTTCCACTAGGAACCCAAAAGAACAATAATAATAACAATAAATAACTTAGTTCTGGATAACGACGTGAGTTTCACATTAAAAACAGATAACCATTCCTTCTCAGTTCTCATGTAGTATCATTGAATGACAAAAACTATTTTGGAATCCTTGATTCCATATAAACTTGCCAACTGAATAGGGTATTTTGAACTGCTTAATTCAGACCACAAGTTTTATCAACAAATACAAACACACATGTAGTACACAAATCAATATTTTTTGGCAGACTAATTGACAATTAAAAACCAACTATTTCATAAGTAAATATGGTTTTATTTAGTTACATTCTCTTCTTCATTGCATTCTGAGAATAAAGGAAGCAGTGTAATGAGTAGTTGTTATGCGCAGTAGTGTCATTTCACTTGTCAAGAAATTGTACATTAATACATCGATTATATTATTCGAAGATAGAAATTCAAACATCAGCATTCAGTGGGCAGAATAAGATGGCTAATAAGCCGAATATATATGTATATATTATTCACACAGTTGGCAGAATGAGTCTTCTGATGCAGATAAATACAGAGATTTATTGTCCAATAGGTTTGATTTTGGTTTATTGAAATTTCTTTCGTAACGATTCCAGTGTAGTTTGTTTTAATGATAAATGTTGTGATATACTTGATGATGGTGATACTTTACGGTGTGCTGTATTCATTTGATGCAACCAATTAGCCAATTCATTATGCTGATATGTAAGAGCTAACTGAAATGGTGTTAGACCGTCTAGTGTTGTTCTTGAATTTAAGTCAGCTGAACGCTGAACTAAAAACTCTGCAATACTAGTATGACCTGTAATAATGCAGAGGAAAAAATAATATATTAAATTGTGGAAATATAGATTCATTGAAAGGAAAATCAAGCATTTTTATATATTCTTTAAGGTCAGTCGTAAATATTATCTTGAACAAGTATTCAATACTTTTTAAATTACTAAGGACGAACATATAGATATACATATCACTGTAGGTGAAGTTCTTTTTGCGCGAGAAAACCTGTTTCACTGAGTTCCACTTCAAAAAATGGCAAAAGCAGGCAATAATAAAGATTAAAATTATATTACAAAAGAAACCAGAATCAGAAAGTGAGACTAGTTAAAAAACAAAGCTGTTGTGAACCATGAAAAACAATAAGGATTGTTGCTGAAATAGAAAGCTAAATTATGGTATCAATTAGACGAGTGGACTATACCCTAACATCATATTTCACTTTTTAATTTCACAATGTGCGCCGGTGCTCACCAACCACGCATACAGTCCGGAGTTCGATCCCCACCCGAGTCATTGCTTTACCTCAACTAAGCCAGTTACAAGACTGGTAAAGAGAAAAGGTTAGGCATGTGGCTACCCCATCCTGTGAAAATAAACACTGCCACAGAAACTTCAAGTCTCTAGCTTGAGGCCCTATGTCCCATTGGGAAAGTGAGGGAATAAGAAAAAGTTTCACAATACTAAATAAGGAATCACTGTGTCGAAATATGACAATTTCAAATAGTAATTGAATAGTAGGGATAGAGAATCAATTCATTTGTGCTAGTGAAGGTTACAATGAGTCATATCACCTAGGTTTCTCAAAAATCTCTAGGATCTTAAGAAAGTCAAACAAGTTGTTGGCTCATATCAGCACTCAACAACTTCTGGCGCTATAAACACCTCCTGATATAATCGGTCTATGTTTAACTCTAAACATCATATGCTTAGGTAGGCGACTGTATACCATACTTGATACATTATTTAGCCTATCAAGTTTGTGTAAGTTCATCACATTGGCTACTCACTATTTTCATCTTCCCGAAAGGTTTGTTACGTGTAGAGCCGCCTTCATAAAGCCTGTGATGTTATTCTGTTGTATGAAACAGTAAAACATAATATGTAAGTTTTGTCCTGTTCAAAAATCGATAATTAAATATGTCTACATTCTGGTTAGTATAAGTGTTCTCACTGAAATTATTACTTAAATTACTTAAATTTGAATCATGCAGGTGTTGTAAGTTATAGACATTTCAAAAACATTTCAAAAAGCTTTCACAGTTTACGTAGATAACTTGGTGGGTCAATGTAAAATGGTGACCTCGATCACTTTACAACCGCGTCATATGCCTGAGAAAGAGTGTAGGTCTATTTATTTGTAGTGCGTCAGTGGCACAGTGGTTAGGACTCTCGCCGACCATGCACATGGTCCGGGGTTCGATCCCCTGCCGACGCACACCTGATATCTATGGTCGGCCTGCAAAATTTGGGCTACCGATATCCATGCTGAAAATTCCATACTTGTACCAAAAATACAGTATGGAATCAAGCTGTAATCAAAAATAAAAAATACTTAAAATTAAGTGTTTCAAACATTAAATTTTTATTTACTCTACTCCTACTTTATAATTAATACCTTTAGATAAACCAGTATCCGTTATAGAGATTTTTGAGACTGTACGCAGTTATCTTGTTCACGATTGAACGGTTTTGAAATTAAAACCTACCGGTTTGTATGAAATACACATTAAGTAATTTTCAACCCATTCCTAATTTTATCCTGTTTTCAGACATTTGAAACTGAAATGTACAGCAGCCATTCACTGGTAGTTCTGTGTCCATTAGTAGTGGTATTTCTGGATGGCATGTAGTGGTTGGTTGATTCAAGAGTCGTTTGAAGTAATCGGCCTAGCATTTCACATGTTACATCTCTTAAATAATCGGGTTTCCTTAAGTATCTTCACTGGCGTCAGCTGCACTGATTTATTCTCGGATAGTGTATTGTTTATCTACTACAGCATACTGAGGTCTCTCTTACCTGCTTCCTGCTCTGCTTAAATTGCCAGTGCGTCATAAAATTGTCTTTCTTCACTCCTAGTACTCTTATTCATTTTGTCCATTTTTGTTTATGTTGTA